TCACATATATATGAGAAGCAATCATTTTTCCCTTCGACATGTCCAACAGTGAGGATTTGGAAAAAAAAATTGTCGACCGCCCAGTGGATATGAATGTGCGGTGCAGTGCGGACTTAATAGCGTGAATAAATTTTCTCATGGTTTAATCCGGTATAGATCGGTGGGCGAGAGGTCGAAAAAAAAAAAAAAAAAAGGGAAAAAAGACAAAAACGGCTGACGAGACCGGAATCGACGGGCTTCATCCGCAGCCCATATTTTCCGGCTTTTCTTTTTTTTTTCCCCTCAGCGCTGCTGGGCTTTTCTTTCTATGGAAAGGGACCGGCTACAGGCGTGGCGTCCAGTGTGATCGAGATTCAAACACCGGAAACGCCGATACCGAGATCGTTTTGAATTATTCTTTGATAGTTTTGACTGGACGTACGAACGCCTGGCCTGCACTTTTTTTTGGAAATCCTTTTAACGCTGTGTATGGTAGGTGCCGTTTTTTTTATCCATTTCAATTTTTGGGGGACGTGGTTGACACTTTAGTCCGGAGATGGAACGCGATGTAAAAATTGATAAAAAATCTTCTAGTGTCTATTGAATGTGATATTTTTTGAAATAATATCAATCAAGACTCTGTACTCGATGTTTTGAGCAGAATCATTTACTTGCGTGTATATGTGTGCAAATTATATTGCACCCATACATGCATACGCACTTTTCTTTATGCCAAGCAAGTTTTAACTTAATGTTAGAATTCATACTTGGTGCCTCTATTATAGAGTATGGAGTGCATTAAAAAGGCAAACAAGGAATAGCAGGAAAAAGGGAGGGAGTCGTTGTATTCGCAAATACTTAAATAATGCTGCTCAAAACATCGAGCATAGTGTCTTGATTGATGTTATTTCTATGAATAAATGAGAAAGTTGTTTCGCGAGATTAGATTTAATAATTCGATATCTATTTTTTAAATTTAAACAAAAATGTTTTTTAATAAAAAACGTCATACAATGAAAAAATGTTTTTTTGGGCCATTTTAGGCAAAAATGGTTTTTTGTCATTATTTTGTAGAGTAAAATAAATAGTCTGGGAGTTAAGATATTGGTTTACACCTAACAGTAGGCTTACGTTTATTCTCTTCGTTTTCTTGAAGTTATTGTACACTAATGAACGTTTTGCTATGAACACTTGCTGATAAATATCAATGAAGTACCAAATCCAAAAGCAAAATTTCTACAAGATCGTCAAAAAATATTTGTTAAGGCAAAAATTGGTTTATTTAATATTGTTACAATGGGTTAGTTGCATAAGGATCTCCATTGCAACTCGCTTTCCCCAGACACCGTATCATTTGCCATATGTTTGTTTATCCATTTACGAAAATAAGCTACTTCTGAATATACACTTGGAAATTCAAGTTGCCCACAATTACCTTCCCCATAAATTTCAATGCCAACAAGTATACTATCCGCTACTAGGGGGGCACCAGAATCACCAGGACACGTCTGCTTATCAAATTCTCCAGCACATGTTTGACCTTTGTATAAACCACCAAATTTCTCGTAAGTCTTGTTGCACCACTCTTTGCTATGCCAGGGAACTTCCATGGCCTGCAACTGATGCGCCAAAGTCTTCTTCTGATCCACGTAACCCCAGCCGGTAACAGTTGGGTCTCTTATTTGGCTTTTCGTTGTCAGGCATGATTCTTCTATTTAGAGCGATAGGTTTGCAAGTGTCACTGAAGGTAAAAGGTGGACTTACGCGAGCCAATCCAATGTCAGATTTCGTATTGCGAAACCTATTAAAATGAAATGAGGTAGGAATTATTGCACGGGACACTAAGTGTAAAGTACCGCCCTTTGTCTTAAACGAAGATCCCGAGCGAACTATAATGTAGTAATTTTTATCGTGTATACAGTGAGCAGCTGTTAGCACGTGATATTCCGAAATTATCGCTCCGTTGCACGAGTATCTGCCACGAATTGATACTTGATAGGGATGGTCTTGGATTGTAGCGTTGTCCCCGCCTATCATGCGCTTTGTTCTTCTGTTTGCAGTAGCGAGCACGAAGGAATAACCTAATTTGAAAATAGCACGTTGTTGAGAAACAGCAAACATGATATCTACGTGAGGAAATTGACAAAAAATATTCCGTTTTTGTCCCCCGTGGCAATAAAAAAAGTTTTTTTGAGGCATACCCTTGAAATTAGGATGATTTTACTCGTAATGTCATGTAGAAAAAAAATTTTGAATACGGGTTTCAGTAAAGGTGATAGGTGTTTTTTTTTAAATTGAAATAGAGGACATAAACAGGAAATTTTTTGTGGATTTCCTCATGTATAAATATATCATATTTTGTAAAAATGAAAATTATCATTGTCCTTCGTGGAGTTTTAATTATTGAAATCATGTTAACAGTTTAGGTGCTATAAAAGGGAATTTGGTCAGCTAAATAAGTTACTGTGTTGCCTCGTCTATTCCAAATATTTTTTCAATATTTTACGAAGATTTTGAAATATTTGAAGTTGTTATCATTAGGTTAATTATTGATTTCTCAGCCACAAAGCACTACCACATAGTTCTTCGAAACCTCAAAAATGATTAGGAAAATCCATTTACCTAAACAATTACCAGAATTTTTCATGTAACTGTTTTTTTGTAAGGAATGTATTGAAGCTTTCGAATAAATCAACTGATATAAATAGATTGTTTTACAAAATTAAACTAAAGTACAATGTATAAATAAAATAAAATAAAGATCTTTGTCTTTAAAAAAAACAATATAATTTTTTTGTTTTCAAAAAAAGTTTTACATGCAATACAACAGTACTTTAAAAAACTCTTTTAGTTACATCTTGAATTCACCAAACATTTAACCCTGCAAGGAAATTTGTATAAAATAGCCAAATAAATGCAGAATACCATTAAACTACTGAGAAAGTACAAAATGTATATAAATGTGGTTGCTTTTTGGCTCCCTACTTTAGCTTAGTTTCAATATCTAAAAGTTTAACTCGACAATTATTTTTATAAAAATATCTAATTCTCTTGAGTTGGGACTTATAATCTGAAATTTCTTACTAATTTGTGTGAGTAATTTTACAATAAAAAAATGCTATTGAAAAGCAACTATATGTCTCTAACAAAAAAACGAAGATCCCGAGCGAACTATAATGTAGTAATACTCCGATCAAAATTAACAATCAATTATTAAAAAACAGATATAAAATTTAAGAGAGTAGAATATACACTTTGATCATAAAATGGAATTATTAATTGACTAGTATTATGTTTAAAGCATTAGTTGTAAAATTTTATCAGTTGAAATTTTTTAATTTCATTATTTGTGAAAGAATTATTTGTTTTAACTATTTGAATTTTTAATTCTGTGATTTAAAAAGAGTATCCTATAACTATGACTTAAATATTAACTTTAATCGAAGTAAATGACTAAAATTGTCGTAATCTATAAGTCGTTGCGTATTCTTAAATACATTTTTGAAACAAAACATATAAATACTTATTTAGTCAAAATATACCTTACCAATGCTCATTGAAGCAGCTAAGATTAAAATGGGCAGCAAATAATTTTTCATGATTTTTACAGTTGGTGCTTACTGCAGTATTGCACAAAGTTTACTGCCAAGTCAAAAAAATTTTTTTTAGAATAGAATATCTAAAAAATCAGACATACGGTACGTTTGAGCGTGGAGATAATAGTTTTAGAGATAGGCAACTAAGATTGGGGGAGTAGCTTTAAATGACTGATATTTTTTTTAATTGACTACCTTTGGAGGGGGTGCGAGAGAGAGAGAGAGGTCTGAGTGGTCTGACTTTGTGCCTTTTTTAGGTTAGAAATGCGTGTGCATGTCCCGTAATTTCATATTGAGTTGTATTTACGCTCCAGATTAATCATTAATAACTTTTTTTATATGCACCGTGATGGTTTTATTTAATTATTCAGTAGATATCAATTTACTGTTGACTATAGTTTTATCCAAATTCGACTGTTAATTGTATTAAAATTTTTGATTATAAAAGTTGTTTTTGACGATCTCCCACAAGAAATTCACATAATTTGTTACATTAATTTCACATTTCATAAGCACCCAGAGTTATTGAAGCTTTGCATACATTTTTTTCATACATTTTTAAAGCTCTGCATTAATTTTAGTCAAGGTAGTCAACCTCCTTAAAAACTGTACTAACCCAGGCAAAAATATCTGCGTCTTCGCCTGTTTGAAGATACTTACACAACACACCAATATGTGTCTAGTTTCTATGATCTATACTTTTTTTTTTTTTTCCTTACACTGTACGGCTACTGATCTAGTGGGGGTACGTATGACACTTAATACGATTTTTAGAAATATTGTATTATCGTCATCATTAATTTATTCTACGTTACTAAAAGACAATAACCTTTTTTTCAAGTGTTTATTTCAACAATAGTATATATTTAGCAACTAAAATAAGTTTTTTCAGTCCCAAGTAGCATATTAATAGCAAAAAAAGCTTATTTTATAACTTCATTCAATAAAAGTAAATTTCTCGCATGAAATATATCTAATGTATAAATGAGCATAAGAAACATTACTTTCTAATGTGCTAACTTGAAAGTATTCCACGAAATAAATTGATATTCAAGGAAAACCGCAATACTCACTCACGAAATACATAGGTATTTTTTTCAGCTCGGAAGTATGCTTAACACTTAAAGAAATTATGTAAGTTGGGTAAGATACACTATTGTTGGAATAAACGCTTGTAACATATCATTTTCCATAAAAAGCTATTATGCATTTTTGTTCTTTAGTATCAACATATTTTCCCTTGAAGGTGGCACTATTTCAAATAGCTACACGAAGCGAATATTTTGTGGTCACTTGCGTTTCTTCAATACCATAAAATAAAAATTAGACTAAAATTATTAGTAAAAAATTTTATTGCAACGTTAGCTTAGCCAAGTTTTTTTATTAAAATAAATTATTAATATAAATATAGCAAAATATACAAGACTATTTAGGTAAGTATACACGGCGATGACTACGCTTGCGATGAAACATCGAGTAATACGAGTGGGTTATCCACTCAATAAAGTAAGCAACTTCCGTGTATACAGTTGGATAATCAAGACGTCCACAGTCACCTTCTCCATAAATAACAATGCCAACAAGTACATCATCTATAACTAGAGGATCACCAGAATCACCAGGACACGCCTCCATATCGCGCACTCCAACGTATCCAGTGCATATTTGGCCTTCGTGCAAACCACCAAATTTCTCGTAAGTCTTGTTGCACCACTCCTTGCTATGCCAGGGAACTTCTAAGGCCTGCAACTGATGTGCCGAAGTGTTTTTATGGTCCACGACACCCCAGCCTGTCACAACCAATTTCCTATCAGTCTCGTAGCTGCTGGGCAAAATCAACTTGTTCAGAGCAATGGGCCGTCGAGTGTCGTCGTAGCTGAATGGCGGATTGACACTGGCCAATCCGATGTCGAAGTATGAGTTTTCATATTTGTCATCCAAGCGAAATAACTCGTGTAGTTTTATTTGAACCACATCGTGCAAAGTACCACCTTCGTCTCTTAACGACGATCCTGAGCGAATTTGTAGGAAATCCTTCGTAAAATTTAAGCAATGGGCAGCTGTAAGGACGTGCTGTATAGAGATTATGACTCCGCTGCAGAAATTTCCACCGAATTTGAATTCTATCGCTACTTGATAGGGATGCTTTTTGATTGTGGTGTTATTACCACCGATCATGCGTCTTCTTCTGATGTTTGCACGAACAGACATGATTGAATACCCTAATTTGGTAATGAGAAATTGTTTTAAAAAATTGTAATATTTATTTGCAGGTAATAGTAAAATTTGTGGAACCATTAATATGAGGAAGATCAATGGTTTCGTACGGAGGATGAAGTGTGGCGGGAAGTTCTGTGTTTTAAAAAAATTTAAAAACTGTTTTATTCAACTCATCAGTTATCATAAAACGTTAATATGTTTTTAAAAAATTACCAAATATACTTCAAGACTCGTAATTTCTTATGGTAATTGCCAAATAGTGTTAATACTTTCGCTTCAATAGAAAAAAAAAATTTCTTATAAATAGGTAATCAAGCCTTTCTCCTACAAAATTGTTACAAATTTCAAAAAAAGGAAATTTTGAATAATTTGTATAGTAGTAAAGTTCAAGGTCTCATAAACAGCTGCACTAAACTTTAAATCATCATTTTGAATAACATAGCATTTGTAATTGATTTTGTAAAAATCCATCGTGCTGCATCAAAAGTCGAATTGTGCAAAAACAGGCTGTTCTCGCTTATCTTATCTTCCATGTACTTAGCATAAGAGCTTCGAGTAAAAAAAGTTACGTTCATGCTAATATATTTTTGGTGATCGATTACCTGTCATTTTAAAGATCTTAATCTCTTCAGGATTTCAGAAACTCACGTTTAGAAGTTTTTTTTTAATCCATACATATTTATTAAGTCAACACGAATCGGAATTTGTTGATCTTCATTAAGGACTTGAAAATTTATAATTTAAAATTCAAAATTTCACGAATTAATTATTACGTGGTAAAAATATTATATTACCAATGGCAAAGGCCTACAATACGGTAATTATAAAAAAAATTCTTATAAAATTTTAAGTTTCTTAAAGGCTTATTACGTGGTAAAAATATTGAAAAATCGATGCAGTTTTTTGGTCTAGATAACAATGATTATATAAACTTTCACTGTTTCTTGAATATTCGTAAAGGAGTATCAGTTTAAAAAAAATCAAAAAATGTTAGGTCATTCTCGTCTCGTTGACTGAATACAGCTTTTAATTTAAAACCTTATAAATAGTAATTTTTTTTTGTTCATTCAATTAACTTCAATTTTTTTGATTAATGATCGTTTGAAAATATGTAGAATTAATTCAGAAAGCTTTAGATAAAAAATTAGGATTAAGAAGTGGCAGTACTTGTACAAGAAAAAGAGTCATTTATCTTTCCTAAAAACATAAAAATCTATCAATTTTTTTTGTAGTAGCTACATTTTACGCATTAATTTTTTAGATCCTGTTAACTTTTTCCAAAAACAGTCTCATGGTTTTGAAAATTTTTAAAACTCTATCGACTTCATCCTATTATATAAATAAAAATTGAACAAACTGTGAGCAAAAAAAATGCAACCTCCAATAGCTTGTGTATAGGTCAAGGTATAATCAAAATTTTTTTAGATGTATTGTCTATGAAGCCTGGCCATTCACAATTTTTTTTAATAACCTCCTAAAATTTTTTAAATGTTATTTGTAGTTATAAAATGGGTGTCCTATAATTCTTAGGAAACTTGCTATGAGCGATGAAATTCCACGATCCCCTTGATAAATTGTGCTTATTATGCGTCAAAGCCATGTGGCTGTTGAAATAATAACACTCACCAATATTGATTACAGCAAATATGATAAAGATCGGTAAGAAATGAGTCTTCATGATATATTATACTTGATGTTCACTGTAGCAGTAACGGCAGATTACTGCCAAGTAAGAAGAAATGGTAAGCTTAATGTACGAAATTTTATATATATACATACATAT